TGCAAAGGCCCAGAGGCAGGAAGGAGACGTGTGTACATGGGCGCATATTGAAGTGATTATTGAAGAGATAGGGAAAGATTGATGTGAAATTAGTCCTAGCCCAGTGCAAATAAGAAACGTGCTTTCTATACTAGGAGAGGCAGCATGTTCATAGTTCATGACACAGACTCTGTCATTAGGTGCACCTGAGTTCAAATCTTAACCACTCCTCACTGTGTAACCTTTGGGTAAATCACTCACATGTTCAATTTCCTATTCATTTAAAAGGTGATAAAAACAGAACCCATAGAGTTAGTGTAGAATTAGATGAGAAACACTTATAAACTACCTAGCACATATTGAACCCTAATGAATATAAACTAGCATTGATATTTATATAAAAGGCATAAATTCAAAGACTTAAAATTATTATTGATGCTGTTAAATTTACAGTCACAAAGGTGATTGAATGAATATGAATGAGTCAAAAGTATAAAGAAAAAAATAGGCAAAGATATGCTTCAAAGGGAGAAATAACAAAATTCTCTTTCTTTGATTTTGTTCTTCTAGACCAAAAATTAGTTTCATACAGTTTTGAGACAAGCTATAAGTTCAAAAAAAAAAAATGGGCATCTTCTTTATTCTTATGGAACAGTCCATTAAGTGTATTCTTCCATATCATAGTTTTGTTTTTTCTTCAAAAGCACTCCCCTCTGAGGGTGGAGCAAGATGGTGAAGTGAGTGGACACTCCATTGACTCCCCCAGCAACTAACCCAGTGAACAACAGATAAAAACAAGAACAGACTGAGATCTCAGAATCCAGACAGCAGCTGAGGTGGTGGAGAGTCGGAGTAAATCCAGAAATAGGAAGAGGAGGAACAGGGATGGCACAGAAGCTGGGAGAACCTACCCAGTAACATCGGGAGCACTCGCTCATTGCATCCATTTTGGGACAAGGCTGGGCAACACCCAAAACAGGCAACACAGAAAGGGAACTAATCTGAGGAAGCTGTAGCCCAGTTTTTTTTTAAGGCAGCACAGATAGTCCATGGGAGATTGTGAGCCATGCAGTTGCGAGGGGGCAAAGACCATGGCGCTGTGAGAGAGTGTTGTTGAATCTTGCTGAGGTTCAAGATGGATGGGCACTAGGATCTGGAGGACAATGGCAGACTTGCCCACAGTGGGACACCATGGGAGAGCCTGTGCAGGGGCACCCACGAAGAAGAGACATAGAGAGCCCCCCACCTTCGCCACAGGAAAGTCGAACCCCACCACTTATGTCACTGTCTGTGACCAGCTAAACTTCCCCTCTCCCCCCACTAATGCACATTGAATTCCAGAGATCAAGCATCCAGAACTCCTGAATCACACAGAAAAAACCATAAGGATAAGAGTGCCCTCTAATGGTTCTCAGGAGAAGATACTAGGCCCATTGCCACTGGGGTGATTCCAACTTGTGGAGACCCCGTAGGGCAGAGTGGAGCTGCCCCATGGGATTTCCAGGGCTGTGAGACTTTATGGAGGCAGGATGGTACACCTTTCTCCCGTGCAGCAGCTGGTGAGTGCAGGCCCTGGCCTTTCGGTTGGCACCTGGGCACTTGGCCACTGTGACACTAGAGTGCCCAATTAGAAAATTTTCCCACAAAAAGCAGAATACAAAATTTAAAGTTAAAAAAAAGATAACAAAATTAACAAAATGGCCCAAGTTTAACAAGAAAGGAAAAACACACAAAATCACAATAGAAAAAGGACCAATCAAAAACAAAATATGAAGAGGAAATTTCTCCTAAGAGGCCAGACTAACAGAAATAATTGAAAATTTTCAGACTATGGTGCTAAATATGTTTAAAGAAAGCAAAAAGCACACAGAAAACAAACTAGCAGAGATCAGGAAACAAATGGAAGAACAAAATGAGAGACTTAACAAGAAACTTGAAAACATCAAAACAAACAAACAAAGAGAACTACTGGAACTGAAGAATAAAGCAACTGAATTAGAAAAATTCTAATTCAAGAGAAACATTCAACAACAGGATGGCGCTGATGTTAAAAAAAAAAAAAAAAAAAAACAGTGTTGGCAAGGATATGGGTCTATTGGAACCTTTATCCATTACTGCTGGGACTATAAAATGGTACAACCACTATAGAAAACAATAAGGCACTTTCTCAAAAAACTGTAACTATATTATGATCCAACAATCCCACTCCTAGGTATATAACCTAGAGACGTAAAAATAATGACACAAACAGACATATGCACAACTGTGTTCGTTGCTACTTTACTCTCAATAGCTAATAAATGGAAACAACCAAAGTACCCATCAATGGATGAATAAATAAGCAAATTGTGGTACATACATACAGTGGAATACTATGTAACCATAAAGAACAATGATGAGTCCATGAAACATATTATAATATGGACAGACCTAAAGGGGATAATGCTAAGTTAAATAAGTCTTTTATAAGAAGACAAGAATAGACGTAATAGAGAGACCAATGTTCATTGGTGGTTATCAGGGAGAAGAGAGGGGAGTGGAAGGACATTTTAGATCATAGAGACTTGTTTTTTTTTTAATTTTTTGGTGATGGGAAAAGTGGCACCAAATGGGGATGTAGTGAGCACAGCACAACCAAAGTAAAAAGTGTTTGCACACATATGGATGGTGTTTTAGTCATCTTGTGCTGCTCTAACAGAAATACCACAAGTGAATGGCTTTAACAAACAGAAATTTATTCTCGCACAGTCCAGTAGGCTACAAGTCCAAATTCAGGACATCAGCTCCAGGGGAAGGCTTTCTCTGTTGGCTCTGGAGGAAGGTCCGTGTCATCAATCTTCCCTTGGTCTGGGAGCTTCTCTGTGCAGGAACCTCAGGTCAAAAGGAGGCGCTCTGCTCCTGGCACTGTTTTCTTGCTGGTATGAGGTTCCCAATTCTCTGCTTGCTTCCCTTTCCTTTTATCTCTTGTAAGGTAAAACGTGGTGCAGGCCACACCCTGGGGAAACTCCCTTTACACTGGATCAGGGATGTGACCTGGGTAAGGGTGGTGTTACAATCCCACCCTAATCTTCTTTAACATAAAATTACAATCACAAAATGGAGGCCAATCACACAACACTGGGAATCATGGCCTAGCCAAATTGATACACACATTTTTTGAGGGACACAATTCAATCCATGACAGATGGGTATAGGCATGTTAGTATACGGGAAGGTACAGGTCTGTATATATGTGAGAACAGATAGAATTTTCTATACCCTTTGCCATCAAGTTGATTCCAACTCATAGTGACCCTATAAGACAGAATAGAACTGTCCCATAGGGTTTCCAAGGAGCACCTGGTGAATTTGAACTGCTGACCTTTTGGTTAGCAGCCGTAGCTCTTAACCACTAGGCCACCAGGGTTTTCAGAAGTATCCATAGGTATGTGTAAATACAAATATATAGGTGCAGGCACATATATTCATTGAAGACACAAAGATAGATACTCCACAGACATAAAAAAAATACTTTCAAAGATTGGTTTTCTGGTTTTGAAAGCTTAGGACTGTAGTCTTATGGAACAACTCAGTCAATTGGCATAAAATAGTTCACAAAAAATCACGTTCTGCATCCCAGTGAAGTGAGTAGCATCTGGGGTCTGAAAAGCTTGCAAGTGGCTATCTAAGATACAGCTATGGGTCTCTATTCACAAGGAACAAAATAGTAAGAAGGTAACCAAAATCTCAGAAAAGAAACAAGTCTACACAAGCCACAACTTCATCTACCCTGAGACCAGAAGACTTAGATGGTGCCCAGCTACCACCACTGACCATTCTGACCAGAGTCACAATAGATGGTCATGAATAGGAGAAAAATGCGGAGCAGAACTCAAATTCTTTTAAAAAATGAAGGAAGAAGAAGCCAGATAAACTGAGCAATAGAGAACAGAGGACTCCCTGAGACTATCACCCTGAGACACTCTTTAAATCCAGAACCAAGCATATCCCCTGAGATCTCCCTTTAATGAAATTGCAGAGTGGCACACAAAATAAAGGATATTACCTGTACCATTGGTGCTTTACTTAAAAACCATTAGTATAAGACCAAAAGGTCAACAATTACTCAAAAGCAAAGATGAGAAGATAAGGGGACAGGGAAACTAGAGTACTGGAAATGGAACAAGCAAAACACAATTAAAGAGAATGCTGACACTTTGTGATAAAAGTAACTAATGTCACTGAACAATTTGTGTGGAAATTGTCAAAAGGGAACCTAACTTGCTGTGTAAACTTTCACCCAAAACTCAATAAAAAAAAAGAAAGAAAAGATTACAAAAAAAGCACTCCCCTGTTGCTGCTGTTGTTGTTGTGTGCCATCAGGTCGATTCTGACTCGTCGTGACCCTGTATGAAAGTAGAACTTTCCCCATAAAGTTTCCTAGGCTGTAATCTTTACAGAAACAGATCGCCAGGTCTTTTCTCTTGCAGAGACACTGGTAGGCTTGAATCATCGACCTTTCAGTTAGCAGCTCAGGGCTTAACCATTGCAAAACACACCCCCTAAATAAACTTAAGAATCCTTCTTCTTCCAATTATACAGAATTCCTATAAAATAAATCTACTTATGTTTATGCTCACAAAGTACTCATGTGGAAATCAATATGCAGTTCCATTGTAATTCAGGATACTGCCAGAGAATCATTAGTACATATTCAGCACTTACATTTTCGTTAAAAGTGGATGTCCATATTGTTTTAAAAATAGTTTTAAATCTTCAGCCACTATCACATAACTTTTATTCACTTGGATGACTCTCTCACAGTGGGAGGAAGAAATTACCTGTGCAGGCATCTAAATAGAAGAATTCTTGGAGTACTGGCTGGTAGTTTATATTGCTCTCATCTCGCCACACTGTCAACATAATATAACTTGTTCATGAGGTTTTTTTTTTTCCAGTCATCTCAAGAAAGTCAGGAATACAGGGCTGGATAGGGTTTTACCCAAATGGCATTTTGATCCTTTGTTCACACTGTACTACAGAAAATGAAGGAGGCTCTTGAATATGGCAAACGACAAACTGAGAACACTTTAAAAGAAGGCAATGACATCCTTGATGAAGCCAACCGTCTTGCAGATGGAATCAACTCAGTGATAGACGTAAGTATTTGATATAAGTACAAAGTTAAAAGAACAATGGTAACATTGTTGTTGATTTGTTGTTAGGTGCCATTGAGTCAGTTCCAACTCATAGTGAGTAGAAATGCTCCATAGGGTTTCCAAGGAGCAGCTAGTAGATTCAAACTACCTACCTTTTGGTTAGCAGCCTGAGCTCTTAACCACTGCACTACCAGGGCTCCAGGGATAACAACATAGGTGCTCATAAATGGAAAAAAATGATAAACCTCAGTACTATAAGCAAATATTAATATATATATATATATGTTTGTTTGTTTGGTTACCTACTTTCACTTGGTTCTCCTTTTGATCTCCTATTGTTCCCCCACACACAAACCTGTATTTTTTTTTAACCGTATTAATGAAGGGCATCTATTTTTCCTAGGGCAGCACTTACGATCTGCTTCAAAATTTATATAACATCAGTTAAAAGAAAAATGTAAATCTACAAACAAACTTGTTAACATAGTGTCTAATGCATTACACACAGTAATAAATGGTCATAGAAATGCAAATGGTCTAAAAGTTCCTAACGACTACCATTTATACCTAAGAAGTAGAAAATATTTTAGAGAATTAGGTTCTTCTTGGTATAAATTGGCTTCATAAATATCCTAATTGCTATCATTAGATAGGTGCTTTATTCTTTATTCTCTTTTTGCCAAGTTAGTAAATTTGAAGTTTCATTAAAAAAAACTAAGCGTGTGTGTAATCATGTCTCATAGAGAATATAGTAAATGAGAGAAGGCTTGGAGTTGCTTGCTTAAAGTGTCCTCTCTCCTGTATATATCAGTACGTTGAAGACATTCAAACGAAATTGCCGCCAATGTCTGAAGAGCTTAAAGATAGAATAGATGACCTCTCCAGAGAAATCAAGGACAGGAAGCTTGCTGAGAAGGTGTCCCAGGCCGAGAGCCATGCTGCTCAGTTGAATGACTCCTCTGCTGTCCTTGATGGGTATGTCATTTGTTGTTGGAAAATGTCTTCGTGTGATGACATTTGTTCAAAAGTTTTGAATAAAAAAAAATGGTAGAGAATTGCTTTGCAATCTTGATTGTGTAATTATGAATATGCTAGCTACATGGCCTTTCTGTGGAAGAGCTTAATTAGGCGAGTCTAGGCAAAGCTCTACTGGAGTGGCATCAAAAGTCTGAGTTAAAAGTGGATGCAAATGTGGCTTGGTAGGGAGTGAATATAGCCCTAGGCTACACTTAGAAAAAAAATATTTTCTGTTCTTTATTAGAGAGCGCAGTGGTTGTCTTATTAGCATTTTAAATAATGATATGTAAATACACATTCTGCATCAAGTTTCAGTTTTATATTTCTAATGCAATCAAAATAATTTGTTTTTTTTAAATGAGTGGCTTTGGAAAATGTGGCCCCATATATAACCTTTAGCCAGTGAGTTTTAATCTTTCTTTTCTGTTCCAAATTCCAGGGAGACACTGCATACTCCTTATTATAATAATAGCTTACTATAGCTGGGATTCTTAAATGGGTCAGAGGAGGAAGAGGCAAGCGAAAAGGGCATGTATGGTTTGTAAACAGCTTTCTAGGTAATTCTGATATGCTTTCCCTACTTAAGTATATAGAGCAATTTGGGGTTTGCCATGATAAGTATAGGTGCTATTAACCCCAAGAATAATTTTCCAAATACATTTGTATTTAACATCCGCCATGTGCAAGGCTTAATACTTAATACTTGTCTTAGTTACCTAGTGTGTCGTAACAAATAGACCACTAGACCATAGATGGGTGGTTTTAAAAAACATAAATTTATTTTCTCACAGATCTGGAAGCTAAAAGTCCAGATCAGAGTCTTGGCTGTGGATTCCTTCTGAGGGCCTCTCTCCTAATTTCTGCTGTCTGCTGGCAATACTTACTGTTCCTTTGCTTGTAGACAGGTCCTCATATGGTATCTGTCTTCCACCTGTATGTGTCTGTGTCTATTCTGCTCTCTTCATAAGACACCACGCAGACGTAATTAGGTTTAGGACCCACCCTACTCTTGTATGACCTCATTAAAATAACAAAGAAAACCCCTATTTCCAAACATGGTCATATTTATAGGGACCCATTGTCATCAAGTCTGTTCCTACTCATAGCGACACTATAGGACAGAATAGATTTGCCCTTTAGGGTTTCCAAGGCTGTAATCTCTACGGAAGCAGAATACCATGGCTTTTTCCCACAAGCAGCTGGTGGGTTCAAACTGCCGACCTTTCGGTTAGCAGCCAAGCTCTTAACCACTGTGCCACCAGGGTATCCACATTTCTTTTTGGGAGACACTATTAAATCCTTAAAATACTCATATGATACAAAGAAAAATGTTAATATTTGAAAATTATGGGCGTGACATGCACAACACATTTTATAATTGAGTAAGGGGTAATACATAAAGAAGTAAGCTAGCAGTCAGGGGACCCAGGTTTGCTATAGCCCTTAATCAGTTACCTATTATTGGTCATGTGACCTGAGGCAAGCCATTTAACCTTCCTGAGATTCATTTTTCCTCATCTGGGAAGTATGCCTACCTGTAGAGATTTGGGGAAATTCAGTCCAACAATGTGAATAAGTGTTCTGAAACGTGTAGCATGCTTCACAAAGAAACATAAGCAATTGTCTTATTCCACACACTTGAATAGCGTCTGTGGTCACAGAAGCTTTTGGAGGATGCTGTAGGTATATAAGACGTGTTGGTAGTGGTGGTTAAACAACGTGATTAATGTAATTGATATCATTAAATTGTATACCTGAAAAATGTTGAATTGGCAAATGTTATGTTATATATATTTTTATCACAAAAAAAAATGATATGTTGGTAGAGCTCACAGCTGGATTATTTAGGGATGTGAGTTTGAATTGTAAACTATAACACGATATGATAAGCAAGTACATCCTCACTGTGGTTTGGAATTAACACAATTATATTGTCAGCAATCACCTGGAAGTCATATCTGTTATAGGTAAAATGTTCTTCATTTGAGGACCAACTGCTCTGATGTTTTTTTTGGGTTATCCCAACAGAATCCTTGATGAGGCTAAAAACATTTCCTTCAATGCCACTGCGGCCTTCAAAGCTTACAGCAATATTAAGGACTGTATTGATGAAGCAGAGAAAGTTGCCAAAGAAGCCAAAGGTCTTGCAGATGAAGCTACAGAACTGGTAAGGAAAAAATAGTTATTTGCAGGGAATGGAGGTTAAACTATTTGAAAATTTATTTCTTTGGTAGGCTCTGGAAAAATCCCAGTGAATTAGAATATTTGTTTCTAATTATTTTCAATGCTCTCTTTAAACTTCATCCAAAATAAACTCAACGTTTCGTGGTCATAGGAGAATTCTTTTCTCAGTCAGCCCACTACTTATCACAGTCAGAATCTTGAAATTATCGCAGATGCCAAACAGGTCTGTGCCACCAACTCACAGAAGAAAAAGAGATAAACAGGAGACTCTGGACAGAGAAATTCATCACCATTATTTGAAATGTCATCAGTAAGAAGATACCTTAAAAATTAAGACTGCGCTTATGGGCTTGTAGTTGCACACAGTTTGGTTTTATTTGAAGTTTCACTATAAAAGTATACTTTTAACAAAACATATAGGGTCATATGCTTCTAAACTATTTATACTGTCTTTATCCATTGAAAAGCTCTTAACTTTTGCTGCTATCATTGCTCAAATACATTTATATCTAATATTATACAATTTTTTTGGGTTCTGAGTTATATAACCTTCTTTGAATATCTTCAGTAGTGATAAATGCTCATCTTTTACACATAAAGCAACATTTTGTAAGTAAGTCATATGACAAACCTTGGTAATACTATTTTAGGTCAAAAAACATTTCATAGGACTCACACCATGAGTTAAGAAGTTCAGAACTGCTCCTTTGCTTCACACAGCATCCCCTAAATGCATCAGAATTTCTAGAAAAAACAAAAACAAACAAAACCTGATCAGGCATTTGACTCTGAATGAAATATGCACAAACAATTGGTATTAAAGAAACTGATCAATATCTTCTTTGCTTTGGTATTTGGCACAAATGTTTTCTTGGCTCTCAGGGATATTAGAGCCTTTTAACCACAATCATAGAGGTTTTGGTTTTTTAGTTATACTGAAAACATCATATTTCATCAGCAATTCTACTGTGTTTGGCTTCTTTGGAAAGAGCTCTACTAATACCATGTATTCTGTTTTCCCTTTACTGAAAATGTTGACACAATCATCGCAGAAATTTTAAAAAGAACCTACTTTTCATATCTAAACTGAATTCTTTACCCATCTTCTTATAGATTATTTTCTATTTTAAAGACACAGATTTTCACCTTTAACATTTTCAACTAACCTGTGTTTTATTGGATGATCTTTTGCAGCATCTAGTACAGTCCTTGAATAGTCATGGATGGATGGATGAATGAATGAATGAATGAATTTCATTCATTTAATTAACATCTCTTGTGCCTATTTACAATCTTATGTACCAATAAAAATACTGCTTTTGTCACTGTTTCAACCTTATAAACTTCCTTTACCATTTTAAGTTAAGGAGTTGTTTAATTTTATTCAAATTTAATACTATCATTTTACACTTAACAGACTCTCATTTTTATGCCAACATGAAATGTAAACTTCTCCTTACCACCAAGGTTTATACTTGATACTAGCCAACCTCAGACACAGACCTATGGTAAGTTGTAATTTGTTGCAACATGTCCCCCTGTTATCATCATTTCTTCTCTCTTTCCACGCAAAAATAATTAAATGTCTGAAAAATTACAAGACAAATACTAAAGAGAATCATTGACTTATTAAATGATTATTAGTGAACACAAAGAAGACTGATTTGTCCCGGGAACTTTGTTGGACTGTGTTTCATGAACAGAATAAAGTTTTAATTTTAATAAGTCATTATATTATAGTTTTATTTTACTGGAAAAAATAAGTTTACTAAATATTAACTTGAGCAATCACCTAGATAGGACTAGCATCCTGTAAGATCTAGTATAATTGCCAGAGCTATAGATAAACACACGAGTGAGATTACGTTTATCATTCATCTATGAAAGAATTCAAAGGATGACAATACAGAAGAATCCTCTAGTTGTTTGAATCTAGCTCTACAGAAGGAACAATGTTTCCAATGAATTGCAAAGCAATAAAGATACAGAAACAAAGCAGGCATTTGCAGGAGAAGAAAAAAAAGAAAGACATATTAAACAAGGAATAAACCAACCAATTACTACTGTGAAGAAAATGGAGGTGAAATAATTTAAGTGGGGGGGGAAGTATAGAAAATACCTTAGGAAGAGAAACAACTGAATGGGTAGATATAACCTCTAAGCATAATGGAGACCTCATTTTTAAATTAACTTCACTCTAGTAATTAACCGAATTCTGCCTATTTATAAACATATACACAAAATCAAGAATGGAATTGAAAGGAAAATGTGAGTGATAAGAAAGTTGATCTTTAATCTTAATTAAATAATTAGCAGGAGGAGGATCTATACAACTTAAGTTTGAACTATTCCTACGTAAAGAGTAACAGGTACTAGTTTTGCAAAGATGATTTCTTTAACTATCAGGATAAAATATTATTTTTAAGAACTTAAGAATTATCAAGAAACAGACACTATTCTTCTATTAGTGTTGGATGGGAACAAACACAATCTATAGCTTTTTTTTTCTCTTATATATAATCTCCAAGATAACATCTCATGTAATACTTTTCTTAGGTGGATTCAAGAAAAAAGAGATAAGAAATATGTCACAGTTTAGGAAATTGAGTATGGGGATCTAGAAACTTTTTTTCTAATCTTAATTGCTTTGATCCTATAAACAGTAGAAAACCTTCAGAATCTAAAATGATAGAGTTAATTTTTTTGTTTTTTTTTAATTTCCACATCACAGAGTCACTTGATACCTGCATCATCAATCAGCTCAGATATTAGAAGTAGGAGAGCAAATAGATACAATTTACTTCATATGTTCCTGGTACACTTGGCATGACCACCAGTCATAGTGGTCATGTCTCAGTAACATTGGGATATGAGATCTTCTTCCACCCTTATTTACTGGAAGGGGCTTGGAAGTTGTATGCTTGAAACTGGTATATCCAAACATCAAATAACAGAAAGATAAGGATACATGTAATGAATTCTATAATTACCGATCTTTATGATGAACAATCATCACACAACAATCCTTACATAATCTCCACCTGTCTTGAAATAGGATCTTCCTTCCTTCCCTCGTGTCGTAGTGGTTAAGAGTTTGACTGCTAACCAAAAGGCTGGCAGTTGGAATCCACCAGCCACTTCTTGGAAACCCTATGGGGCAGTTCTACTCTGTCCTATAGGGTCACTATGAGTCAAAATTGACTAGATGGCAACAGGTTTTTGGTTTTCCTTCCCTCCTTCTCTTCCTTCCTTCCTCTTCTTTTTCCTTCCCTTCCTTCCTCCCTTCTCTAAGTCAATGAAATGTGATACTGTGGTTTACATACTTTGAGGTGGAAAAAGTTGAGGCAGTCTTTAACTTCACTAGGTATCGTCTGTTTAAAAAATAATCACCTTTTCCCTTCCCATGGCAGCTGAAGGTTTTCTCTCTTCTGTCCTGTCTTCTTCATCCCTGAAGTTACTTCCATTGTCTCAGTCAGTCTCTCTCTCTCTCTCTCCCTTTTTCTCACTTACTCCCTCACACACACACAAACACACACATGCACACACACCCACTGACAATGTTCCTTAATACCATCTAGTACAAAATCCCATTTCTCATCTTGTCTCAGTGTTTAGTTGTAAAATCTGCAATAAGAGCATTAGAAATTGAGACAGCACCAGTACACAATGTGGCCTTCCTCTTCATTCTCCAAACTCAGGTTTTCTCACTTGCTGCAATTGCCCATCCTTCCTGGGAGTCATCATTCCCAAAATCTTTGACAGGGGTTTTCTCAGGGGTTTCTAGGAAAAACAATACAAAATACAGAAAAAGGGAGGGTAGTATGAAATTAATGCATTTTCTCATAGAAACAACCATAATAGGATAGTTAGTAAAGAATAGTGCTGGGTAGGCAAGCTGTAAGATAAACTAAAGCAAAAGGGAGAAGTCTAGGAAAAGTGAAATTATACAGGAGAAGAATATACCTAAAAATTAAATAAGTTTAAAGCCTTAGACACATGTATTCTAATAAATACATGGACTGCTATTGTAAGTACCTCCCCAGTGTTTATTTCCTAATGTGAGAAGAATAAAAATATATAGAAAACCTTAAAAGAGTCTTTTTCTTGCTTTAGGGTCAATAGTCTGAGGAAAAGAACTTGATTTTTTAATTTATTCTTCTATGGCAGATCAGTGAGAAGACAAACCCTGATAGGAAGCAAAAATAATATAAAGGAAAGACAGGAATCTCTGACAACATGGCAGATTGAGTTAATTCAGAACCTCCTTGATGTTAGAAATACATAGATATGCTAGATAAAACATAACCTGCCAAATGTAATACATACTTTAGGGTAGAAAGAAAGTAAATCTAAAAATAAAGAAGGAACACAAAACTAGAATGCATACACTAGAGCTAACACCTTGGTAACTGAGTGAGTTTGGAATATAAACACAGATCATAATACCTGGGGGCTGTAATTTTAAAACATGCAGTAAGAAAGACATCACAGACTTCCTCTGAACCTACAAAAGAGGAATCATGAATTGAAAGTGTGCCAAAATCCAAGACCCAGGAGAATTATCCCCTCAGTGAACACACACATATATATATACATACCAGTCCAGAACCACTAGAAGCAGTCTTGATTCTTCTCAGGAGTTAATAATAGTGACAAATGTCTCTCATAAGAAAATGAAACCAGAATCCTATGAGTTGAACCCCAAATTTGTACCACCCACATGGTAGAAGACTCTCCAAGATGAGAAACTACTGGGAAAGAAAGAAAAAACAAAACAAAACACTAGTCCTTAAAACCCCCAGAACATCTAGGAGTATATGCAAAGCAAATTGTTGATATCATTCCTCAGCCCAGAGAACATGGTTTTTCGGAAACACACTACTGCTAAAGTTTAGCTCACACATATTTACAAACCACATAAGTAAATAATCAACTAGAAGAGAGGGTGAGCAGATACAGCACGGAGGTGTATTAACTTGACAT